TATGTCCCTTAGCCTCATTTCCTGCCCGGAGTAAATACAATTTTGGTATTGATTATAGCCTGGAGCAGTGTGTCCTGGATCTATGAATCATGGCCAGAAGTTCAATATTGATCCGAAGTCGCGATGCCCAAGGTAAAACGGAGCGTGAGTGATGATTAGCCAAGTACTTCAGTGAGATGATTCAAACTCGTGGATACTAGCCCTTGTCATCGTGGTCTCAAATCGAAACGTGCTATTGAAAGACTGTGACTTCAAAATAGCTCATACGGCGATCGAGATTTCGGTGGAATAGGCCCACTAGATACGCGACACTACATATAAGCCAGAGAGGAATATATGATGCGCATCGAACTGTAGCAGGTACCCGACAGGAAAACCGACCATGTCAAGAACGATCATGTCGACACTCGAGATCAGAACTTGACAGTGATCTCCTTCCTCTCCATGATGGATTAGGAGATTTCCACGTGCACCCTCGGTCGTCGAATTCAAGGAAAAGGCGGAAACATTATTCTTCGTGCATACGAAAGATAAGAGGCAGCATTAATTCGTCGCCACGAACCTAGATTGTACCCTAGGCGTTGTACGTGATTATCACACCAGCTCAGATCATGCTCATTATACATGTAAGTGTCCCCAAAGCTTGACTACTTGCATTCTCGAGGACTGCCACATCGAAATAATGATGACGACGACAACCCACATGAATGGCGCAATGGAGCGTTGCTGGGGGATGAATGGATGGATATGAAGGAGCGCTCGATAGTCCATCACTGCCACCTGAAGATGCACTTTCCTTCTATCGATAACTTTTCTAGCTTCTTCCTACAGGCTCAATATGTCAACAGGCCTCCGTATCTCGTTGGGTTTGCACTTCTCTAACCGTTCCCTTGACAGCCCAAGTCTTCTTCGTGCTTTACCTCAAATCATCACCTGTCGTTCCAATGCCATCAGCTTTCGATAGCTTATGGCAGACGGCCCAAGTATCCGAGAAGTCCGCCATGCTCCAGCGTTCATGCTCATTGTCGGAATACCTACATGCTGATGTTATTCTCGGAAAATTGGACAGTGCAATCGGGCCAGATACTGGACTTTCCTCTGATGTGCCCGGCTTTCAACAACACATCCATTGGCATTTCACTGCGAGGACGTCGTCTGCCTACGGCCATCCGTCGACAGATAGCACCCCAGGCCTATCGCCAATGCCAATCGCAATTGAGTCGCCTACTACGAAATCTGACAGATAGGACGAAAGCAAAGTATCACAGGTATCTCACTCGATCGTAAGTAGACAGCTAAATGTCGATATCACAAGGATGACATTGCCTTCAGTGAGGCTTATGTCGGACATTCCAGGTCTCTACCTCTATCTAAGCAGACGGTCAAGCGGTTCGACGAAAGAAAACTCCCATAAACTTGTTGAATTACACCCATATCAGACCAGTCGCAACACATTGCTCAAGACGGAAAAAAGCTTGATACAACTGGACGTAGCCGAAATAGAGTTTACCGAGGGAACGGTTAGCGGTAGCATCCGATCGGAAGGGCGTATGACAGTGAGCCAAAGCCATGTACAGGCTTGCTGAGAGTCGACATGGTGTCACTAAGTTCTACGTAGTGATTGTTGAACTCCCCTTCAGAACCATGTCTTGCTTGCTAATTTGTCCAGTCTAGGAACTCCGCGTGTGCGGAATTACAACCAGTCATGCGTAGGCTATCCAGATAGTCACGTATCTCCCATATCGTCCCATTTCTTCTGGGCTAAACAATTGGCAGCTGCTCTTACATCGTGTACGACCTATTCCCCCTACGATATCTGGTGCAGCTGCTCTACGCCCATCTCTACGCCCGTGGAAAGGCACGCTACATGCAGCCAGAAAGGCAGACCTTCGAGACAGACCTCTCTGATGAGTCCAGAATGGCGATCTCTAAGCTTACTAGACAAGCCCGCCGAAGACACGGATGTTGTGTGCTAGAAAGGGACGAGCTTTCAAGTGAGGCCGGACGGGATGGACCCGCCAAACCGGGGCCCTTGCCGGCTTTGCCGGGTCAGTAATCGCTCCAGTGGGTACACGGAGATGCGTGGTGGCCAAATGAAATAATGCCGGATCTTTGAACGAGTGGTCGGAGCATGTATAGGTACAACAGGCAAAGCTCCACCGTGTTGATTGTCTACATGGATGATCAGATCATGTCTGTCCACTACCAGGGACCTCTTTTCCTTGTCTCAAGCAAGTCCAGCCCATCCTGTTGTGGAGCTACAGGGCGTCCGGGAAAGTGACAGGTCAGATTCCCAAATCAATTCAGCGGAAAGATATGCAAGTCTCAACCCTGCCCCCAGGCATTCCAGCCATGGCACCGGAAATTTAGGGCAGAAAAGGGGAGGGTCAGAAGTCGAGTGAGGGTATGCTTGCTAACAATCGGTGCTGCTCTAGACTCGTCTAGGTCAAGCAATATGGCAATGTAGCGCTTTGCACCTTTACTCCCGAGCCGGCGCCTATTCTGTCATGCTCGAGCGGTCAGACACAGGGTATACCCGAGATCTGCGTCTCTTCCCGCTACTTGGATCCCGCCCGCCATCTAGAGTGCTGGGCTCGAGGGGCGAGACGCCTACTGTGACCAAGTAGGGATGGGCTTGCTCGCGCGCCCAAGGCTCAGAGCCAAAATAGACGCTCCATATACCATGCATGGTTCCAGACGAAGGCGTTCGCTGATAACACACTATCACCGAATCACTTTCTATATACTGTCTAAACGAAGTGCTATTCCTTATCGACACCCAGCAGAAGCAAAGTATTCGCTTTACACTGGGCTCCGGTTGCCATATTCCATGGTAGATAGATAGCCTTGCTCCAGCACAAGAACAAGGATAGGAACTCAGCCGTGTTTCAATATCTCTACACCCTTGCCGGCAATACAAATACATACCACCACTGCTCACTGTGCCGCGATCTGCAACTTGGTGCCCTGCCCCTCGGAGATCAGAGACAGCGCCATACCAACTCCCTGTCCCACTCCGCCTCGAAGCAAGCCTCGTCTAGCTGCAATCTCATTGCTTGTTCCAGTCTGGTCGTTCCGTGCCTTGGAACAACACTAGCTAAGGGCTGAAATATTGCTAAGCTTACAGCTATAGCTATGTTCAGGTGTCTTCTTATGCTCATGCCTCAATATGTCACTACAAATAAGTCAGTATGTGCGACCAATAAGCAACAGCGCTAATGCGCACTAACACGGAAGGTCCCAAGCAGCCGGACCCCATGATCCCTTACTCTTCAGAGACATCAAATAAGACGGAACCAAAACCTCGTCTCTAAGCAGTCGACCAGCCTCATGCAAGGTCCTGGTCACTTGTCATACCGCGGTACTATCCTACTCATATCTGACCTATCCAGTGCTGGGATTCATACATTTCTGGCTTCTAAGGATGGTCCTACCAGACTGAAAATTGATTACCTTGCTTTTCCAGCATGCATTACTATAACTTCGTGTTACAGATTTTTGGCGACCAAGACTGGCGGGGATCGCGGGGCAATCCGGTCTGTGGGACGACGTGCAAAAGTCCATGGAATTCGCAAGCCTCGATCCGTTTGTCACTCTGTTGCGAGCTGGAGGGGCTTGGTCCCATCTCGCAGCTGCGAGCAAGTGTGAGCAGGCGGGAAGTGGGAGGCCACACTTTCAGCCAGCAACCTGCATTAGCTTTGTCGAGTTGCAAACGCCCATGCCGCCCATAGTCTCACATCGCGTATGTAGGGAACGGCTGAGCTGACATGAGAAAGAAAAAAGTTGCGATGCCCTGCAGAAAAGCTGTCCTGCAGATGTCGCTTCCCGCGCCCATCCGCAGGCCACAAACGGAATCCCGGGAACATGCGGCTGACTTACTGGCCCACCGATTTTGACGAAGGTTCTTGTCTGACAATGCCATATGAACAAGCCCGAGCGTGGCAACCTAATAACGACAAGCCACAGGCCCCGGATGCCGCTGTCTCCCTCATAATCACTGTCAGGTCGAGATTGCTGCCTGACCGTAGGGCACCGCAGACAGGCCTCCGAAGGCTGGCCAGAGAGAGAGGAGCCGTCAGATTTCCGTGTAAAGCTAAGATCGGCCTACCTTTCCAGGGTCCAACAAAGCTTCCCAAGTTGCGGAGGAGAGTCACGTCTGGTCTTTGGGCTGATAGGCCCGACCAGAGGTTCGATACGGTCTGGACTTTGCAGTAGACTGCTCCCCATCTTGCGTCACTAGCCTCCTTCTCTAAGGCGGGAGATCGGCGCAGATTAACACGGTCGTCATTTTCAAGCCGACCAGTCAATCTTGTTGGTAAGGCGCATACACCGCCTATCACAGCCAGCCCTAGAGAGGCCGATTGGGCAGGAATCACTTCTGCGATCAGGTGCCAGCCACCCTTCCCCCTCTCTCCTACGTCTCCCTTCCCTTCATCCCTCCCCCCCCCCCTCTCCGACGTCTGCCCCGGACTGCCTTCCTCCAATCCATTTGCCCGGGCCTCCGAGCCCGCATTTCTCGCGTGGCGGCGGCGGTGGGTCAGGTTGACCGCCGCCCACCCCTCTCTCCCGAAACTGCGTTATGGTGTGTGCCCGCCACTTGATCACCCGCATGAGGCTTACAAGGCCATGTTCAAGGGACCTTGCCCGCATATTGCCCATTATTGTTCTTATCAAATAAGCGTAGGGCAGAAAGATCGACGGTGAGGCGCCGGCCAAGGCTAGCGCTTTTTCCAACAACCACACTTTGTTCGACGTCCAACAGTCATCAAACGCCGAGCTGGCCGGCAATCCTTCCAAAGCAAACAACCATGGAAAGGAAGACGGCTGAATTAGCTGAGCAGAAAGCTGGGTTACATTTCCTTCGCTAGTTGCTCTTTTTTTTTCTTTCTTTCTTTAATTTCTTTGCATATCTCACACCCCCCGGGCGTATCTCGCATACTTGCACGGCATTCTGAACCGGCATCTGGTGGCTTCGCGGCTGCCTTGCTTTGCATTGCGCATCATTGTCTATGCATCATCCGTCTCTCTTTTGATTGATGGTAACAAGGTACAGACAGGTACGTGCGTACATACATACAGCTGCCGAAGTTACTTCGGGCAGAAGAATAACCAAAAAAAAACCCTAAAAATCCAACAAACAAAATGACAAATAGGGAGAAAAGAAGAACCCAAAGAAACGAATAGAAGAAACAAGAACAAGAAAACAAGAGATGAACCCCACCACCCAATTTTTTCTTGCGCAACGACGCAAAGCTCGTGAGAGCATCCAGGCCTGATCTACTACAATACCATAGGTATACATGATTTCTACGACAGGGAAAACAAGAGAGACATACACACGTACATACGTACAACACCAACCCCCCACCCCCGCCCCCATCACACACACACACACACACTCTCTCTCACGCAACTCGGTGCCCTTTTCCTTTTTTTTTTTCTCCCGAAGTATTTTTTTCCGTTTTTGTTTCTCATCCCTTCGTTTGCGAGTATCCGGCCTCACTTCTTGAGCGTTATCTGGTGGGCCATCTGCGCCGCGCATTTCATCGTTCGTCGTTCCTCCCGAGTTGCTTTCCTGGTACGCCCATCTATGACCGTCCTTCCGTGAGATTTCCCATTCCCCTTAGGTTTTTTTCTTTACACCACGCACACCCCCTTACCGCTTATACACAGACACACACCACCCACCCCCTTGGCTTAGGAAAAAAAAGAAGCCCAAAATCCGCCACCCACATCTCTCTCCCCGTCTTTAGATTTCTCTGTTGTCTTAGCTGGCTGTGCCACCGTTCCCCCGTCTGCGATTTGACCTAGGCAGGTTCAGCCTAGCCGAAGCTTGGCCTACAAGCACATGGACATGGGCATCGGCAGGAGAGCGGAGATATCCTGCAAAGAAAAATGAGAAAAGAAAGAATCAAGAGATGTGTTAAGAAAAAAAGAGGAAAAGAAGAAGAAGAAGAAAAAATAGAGAAGAAAACCACAACTGGTTAGCCCATTGAGGATGCTGACATAGATACCTGATGCCTGCCCAACCACCTGTTGGAATGCGTGAGAAGGATGATGAGAGCAGTTATCCTCCCTGAAGAACTCCAAAATCCGCGTAACATCGTGTTGGGTCTCCGTCTCTCGTAACAAGACGTTTCCAACTGCCGAGAATGTACATTGAGGGGGAAGAAAAGAGAATAAAATGAGGCCGCCCACAAAAGCCGACCGCCCAGGCGCCACCATGAATACGTTTACGGGCATCTAGACATTGCCCTGAGATGTACGTTTCTTGGGATTTGATCTCAGGGCGAAGCAGCCGACTAAACCCCAAGTCTTCCTTTTATCTGCTTCCTTGATGAGAGCCGGACCCCGTTTGAGCTCCGCCGCCGCCGTTGCCGCTCGATTCTTCATTTGCCTCGTACTGGTCGAGGCAAGCTTCGATGACTAGGAACGGCATTGTCAGCATGGATGCCTTCCCTCACACGACGTACAAAGTTGGGATCGTCCGGGGGCTTACTCTCTATGATCTGCTGCTCCCATACTCCGTATTGGTAGTCGACCAGACCATGTCGCTCAATGCCGTCGCAAAGCCGGACGAGCTCTTTGCCCATTTTTTCAAGGCCTTCCTTGGGGACCAAGGTCTGCGATCGCTGCAGCTGTCTGCCCGGCTCCATCAAATCCTTCTGCATCTGGAATAGTGAGAGCCACGCGTGATTGAAGTCGTTCCATAGTTTGATTCGGTCTCCATGCAAATTTTGGTCGTCCAGGTTGAGGCCTGTGAATTGTCATTGCATTAGTAAATCTGAACCAGAAGAACCCGAAACTCCAATACAGAGCTTGGCGCGAGTAACAGAGCAGAAAGGGGGGGGATCCAACATACCCAGATCGACGACCTGCGTCAGGAGCCAGTTTGACACATCCAGAAGTGACTGGCTGGCGCTTTCGAGCACACCATTGCGGACATTTTGGAAGACACCCCGCAGCGCAGACTGGTATTCCATCCATTTTTCTTCCAGGCCGCCTGTGGCAGAATAGTCCTGCTCTTCCATTGACACGTCGGCACTCGAAGTCTGCTGTGGCATCGCGCCGACGTTAGGGATGTTCGCCTGGTAGTTGGCCATCTGTGGCTGTTGATATGCCGTCGCCGTGGCGCTCGCCGGTTGCGCATGGGGAAGGTTGGAGGTTCCTGTGCTACTACTCGGGTCATTGGAGAAGTACGACGTCGACACGTCTGTCGGCAAGATCGGAGCAGCTGCAGGCTGCCGTTGGAATTGCGCCTGGTTATCGTAGACGGAGCCCGTCGCACCAGTCAGGTTGTCGTATCCCATCGTCATGGCCGCGTTGTATCCACCGAAATTCTGCGCCGGACGGCCGTCCTGGCTATATCCTGAGGGGTAATGCATAGTATTCGCCGCCATGGGCGCGTTGAAAGAGCCTGCTACCGGCTCTTGGTAATTGTAGGTGCTGTAGCTACCCGTGCTTCCCATGCCTCGCGCCTGCGAGGGCGAAGTGTTTAGTGGCGCTGGCCTGTTGTATCGCTCGGTCGAACCTGTAGCCATGTTGCGGCGCTGCTGCAAAGGGTCTTGTTGCTGTTGTTGTTGCTGTTGTACGTTATATCTTGGGTTGGAGGTGGGATGCATGGGCGCTTCATTCTGCCTCCGACGGCGATTGGGATCATCCATCCCACGAGGGGTTTGGTCGCCGGTCGGCTCCGAGGGCAAGCCTACCGTATGCGCCGGCGGCAACGGAGCTGGCGATGTATACAGTAAGGCCAGTTTGGGCCGTCGGACCGGTCACAAGACCGTCCAATTGTCGTGTTGGGGTCCGTTAAACGCTACTGCGTTCCTCTCCCTCTTGCCTTGTCTTCCTCCGGGACTAGCGTGTCCAAGATAGCCAGGCGGTGGCGTGTAACGAAATTTCTTTGCTGATGACAGCGGACGACGCGGGGAGCTATTTTGTCCAGGTGTATATGGCTCCGCGAAGCAAGATGAGTTGTCGACGTGTCGCGCAAAGTGAAAATAGACAGAGGTCTGGACTCGACCAGGCGGTACTGGCGGATGGTAACGTCGCGAGCCTTAATAATGGCGAGGCAAGGTCGGTGCCGATGGATTCCAAGATGTCAAAAGAGACAAAGGTAAGGAAGCGTTGACTTGGACCTGGGGGTCGGAGAGCCTGATGTGTGATGCCGATGTAGGGTCTGTCTGATGTCGAGCCGGGCAAAGGGCAGCACGGGATGGGCTGGCAGGTTCCTCGGGCGGCGGGTAATAGAAGTGGCTTTTATGAATTGAATTGGGAGGGAAGATGGCGGATAGAGTAAAGGATGGGGAGAACAAGGAAGTTAACTGTTCAGACTTGCTTGTCGCGACCAGCTCGGCGAAGCTAGCGCCGGTCTACTTCATGCCCTGACGCCTGAAGGTTCGGGAAGACTAGACGAAGACTGGCGACGAGTCGTTGGTGTCTTGTGAGTCGTCAGAGAAGTTTAGATTTTGGTAAACAAAAAGCCAGCGAATGGGGTGGATATCGCGCTGAGTTGTCAAACTGGTGTCAGGTTTGATACCAGGAAGATCCTGGATGGAGCATGCACCACGATGTCCAACATTACAAGCCGGTCCCTGCGCGATCTGCTTGGGCAATGAAGCCGCACCAGGGTCTCAGCGACCACCGAGTCGCCTTGACGCAAGATGCGATTCGTCAGAGCAAGAGCAAGCGTCGGGCGGACCGATCTGGTCTTGAGATGAGGTTGGTGACCCGAGGCTTGGGCCTTGAGCCTTGAGAGAGGCTGTGCGGCCGTGTGCTGGGTTGGGGGATATGGGGCTTGTGGTGAGGCTCGTGATGTGGATGGACCAAGACCGAGAACCACTTTTACTGCTCGTAGCTTAGTGCTGCGAGGCTAGACGCGAGTCTATGTAGCCTTGGAGAGGGGAAGGGGGTTCTGCTTTTGCCTGACAGGGAAGAACTGGGTAAGCTTGTGACGATGTGAGAGATGTTATGGGGCGGATTCGGGGTGTTGGTGTGGAGGAAGACGTGAACGGTAGTCTCGGGGTTGGTCTTATAACATGGGAGGGATGCAGATATGGGTCGATGCCGGCAGGATCAGAATTAAAGGAAGGGTGTAAGTAGGGAGTGAGGGGAGAAAAAAAAGTAATAAGAGGGCAGATGAAAAAAAAGCAATGATAATCCAAAGAGACCTGGACTAAAATGGGGGTAACTAGGTAGGTGGGTGTGAGTGAGTGAGTGACATTGATACATGGGAAGAAATGTGTGTGTGTGAGTGAGAGTGTGCGAGTGAGAGTGAGGCCCGGGAACTTAAGGTGAGGCGGGAAGACAAGCAGCTGCTGCCAGAGTGAAAAAGAAGAAGAGACAAGCAAGCACTTGCCTTCCAATCCAAAGGGGAACAGACCAATGATGGAAGCTAGGTAGACCAAGCCCAAGGAAGTCTGTGCCGGGAGGAGGGGACGGATGGGACTAAAAAAGAAGACCCGAAGCCAGTGGCAGAGACAATGGCGAGCGAGAGGAGCCCAACAAGTACCACTACCGGTCGGTTGATTGTAGTGTAATGCAGAGCAAAAGAGTAATGAACCCGGCAGACAGCGCCGTGGTCGAGGAAGTATCCGTTCCGTGGAGTAAGGTAGGGCAGATTCAATCCAAGTGCGGCTAGATGGCCCCAAAGAGAAACAAGCTGGACCTCGTACCGCGCCAGGAAGACCCAGATGTAATCTAAAAGTGGTTTTACCTCAAAAAAAAAAAAAAAAGGTGAAGAGGCCGAACTGGCTCAATGCCTGCTGACAAGTTCGTCTTCTCCAAAAGGATTGCCCTGGTCCAAATGCGCGTGGCAGCCCAGCAAGAGAACTGCGGGCAAAAGAGTAAAAGTGCGGCACCAGCAGAGCAAAGTAGCGGCCGTAGCGGAACGAAGCTGCGAGATGGAGCTTTGAATCTTTAATAAGATATGGATATAGTTGTCGAACGACGTCGAGAACCTCGAGCTGGATCTGGAGTTGGGGAGATGAAGTTGGAGCTGACACCCGGCCGAACGAGGCACGTTATGCAGCGATCTGCAAGGCAATGTCGAAAGATGGGGGTTCCCTGGTTGGCAACCGGCTGTCTGGTAAAGAAGGCGTAGTGGACAAAAATGGACGAGATGCAGGCGATAGATGATTGATGGGTGTGGACATTGACGTGGGTGCGAGAGACTGAGTGTGAGTGGGCGATCGAGTGTCTCTCTTGCAATGGAGGGTGGGCTTGTGCTTGTGTTGGCGCCGACGATGGGTAGAGGCAGGATAGGCGGATGGCAAGGGGGTGTGAGATACGAAGACTTGGGAGAGGTAGTTGTATCTGATGTATCTTTCCTTCCGATTGTTGCTGAGTTGAAGAGCAAGAGAAAGGGAGCAAACGGCTTGAGAGGCAGGCAAGTGAGACTTGAACTGGCTGGGTAAGTCTGGACAGGTGACCGCTGCAGTGCGTGCTGTAACACTTTACGACTACCCCGAGTAAGAATGACGAGACGAGGTGTTTGGAGAGAAGTAGATGAAGAGAGAGAGAAGAGCGAAGGTGGGTGCGCGTATGTGTGTGTGTGTGTGTGTAAGAGAAAGACAGAAGAGTCAAAGGTGGTAAGAGTAAAGAGGCTTATGCAGCAGAGCCAAAGCCAACTGGCTCACACCCCATAACCGGGGCTAGTTTGCGAGCACAGAGTCAGGTCTTGTCAGGTGCCTTGCGCTGGGTTCGTCTGCAGGACTCTGGAATGTAAAGCCGCAGAGAGCTTTGGATTTTGCTACGGTAATCGCTGGTGCGTTATTGTTGGTGAGAGTTGGGCGGTCTGATCTGGTAGTACGGATGACCTCAGGATAAGTAAAGCTCGATGAGGCACGGTGTGAATGAGTAGAGATAGGCGATAGACAGTCGTCGATTGAAATATCGATATAATGAAAATCGCGGCAAACGGGCGGCTCTCTTTTTTCTTCCACACTTCCTCAGTATCTGAGAGGAGTATTGAGGGGGAGACAAGAGGTATGGCTCAGCAGAGTGTATCGAGAGGACGGACGGGCGGACAGACGACGAGAGATGAGATGGGATGGGATGGATGAGATGGAAGCAAAGCAGCCGGCTCAGCCAGGGAAAGACTGCCATGGGGGTTTGCTGAGCTTGCTTGTTGGTCCCCTTCCCATTCTTCCCACCCCTTCGTTTTCTCTCGTCTGTTTCGCGGCAGTGATGGGGTTGCTCGAAGCACGCCCTTCCATTCTCTTTCACACCCCATCGGGGGCTGACATACCTACGGTACTTGCCTATTGCACCTTACTTGTATGTCAGTTTGTATTGCTTCATCGTCACTGGCTTTGCTGTACCTCGTGTTTAAGCCATGTCTCCTACTCTACCTACTTGATCGGGCATCGACTCTCGAGAGAGTCCTGGCATGGTTGGATGCCACTGTCCCTTTCATTCTACAGTTCTGCTCTGGAAAAGTTCGGCCCCGGTGTCTGTAAAAGTCAATGTGTCCGCCCACACTGTGACCCGTTTCGTTTCGATTTTCTGCTCGATGTCGGGCGGGTCTGAGTAGTTGGGGTCATCGACATGACTTAATCCGTCATCTCCTCTTCTCAATAATACCAGCTACGATTTGAGTTCCTCCGATCGGGACCGCAGGCGGTCGGGTTGCTGATGAAGCTGAGACAAGAGATCACAGCTGATTGACTGAATGAATGGAGAGAATGATACAGAGTCCCTGTCCTGCTCTACTGCTTTCCCCTCGGTGCGATGCCAATGACGAGCCCCCTGGACGATGAGCTGGAGGGATCGTAAAAGTTAAAAAAAGTCTGTGAGCACCCAGATGGCTGGATTTGGGGGCGTTGTTTATTACCTCTATGAGACAAGCCCAGTGACCCTTGTTCGTAGGTACTCCTTCGCCTCCCCTGGCTCTCAGCCAGGGGGAAGCGCACTCCAGCCACTCTTCCACACAATTGCTTGCATTTCTTTTGTGAAGCACCTTTACCCTCTTCTTTCCCCGGCACATTGTTTTCCGCCGAAAGGCCTTGTCACTGGGTCCCATTTGGAACCCTCGAGGCACCGTATTCGTTAGCCTGGCTTCGATTGCTTCTGTCGGTAGAGCTTCAGACCCCAGATAAAAAGCCCTTCAATGATGAGGCGAGGCGAGGCGATGCACTGCCGATGCCGAATGACGTACATACATCGTCGTCGTAGACACCCACTTCAGTCCATGGCGGAGCAACAGACTGATCGTCAGCTTCGGAGCGGAGGAGGGAAAAAAAAGAGGAGAGACTAGGGAGAGCATGACAAAGCCGTCGAATCTCTCACACTTCAGATGCTCGAGACAACGATAAACCATGCTTCAAGTGTCTCTCGCCCTGGCCGGCAACCTCGTTGACTAAGAAATCGGAACTTGAAGCGCATCGTTATGCGAATGGGGTAACCGTTAGCCGGTACAGACCAGCTAGCCAAGTCCCAGCTAAACTCGATACTTGAATCGTGCAGCAACTGCATCCCTACAAAGGAACCCGACTCGTTGTGGCCTCCAATTCCAGCCAATAGCCAAGCCCCCGTCCACTGGACTTCGAGACGCTTGTTTGGGCTTGGCCTCTGATAATATGCGTCAAACCAGTGTGGGATAGCGAACCTCAAGCTGACAATTGAAGCCCGATTTCTCAGGTTTCAGAGCCACCAATGAAGCCAGCAGGAACAGCTTTTTCGTCGCGATTCAGTCAAACTTGGGGGGAGATACCGATGTGCAACGAGGCAAATCGAGCCGTCTCGGATTGGGGGGGGGGGGGGGATACACTGCACGTTAACTGCAGATTTCGTGTGAGGGGGAAAAAATCCCAGATGGAAAATGGCCCGAGTCGGCCCCCAAGAAAAATTGGGCTAAAAGGAAATCGGTGGAGCAGTTGTCAAGTCAAGACCAGACAGGAAGAGGCTTCCGTTCCCGCGAGTCTCTCATTGATAGAGTCTTCGAAGCCAATGGAAGGCGAGAAATGAAAATGACAAGCCGCCATTTGGAATATTGGAAAGGGGGCCAGCCAAGTTGACACACAAGGACTCGAAACCCCCTTTCGCTGACGAGTGCGAAAAAAAACCGAATGGTATTGATAACCTGCCCGAACCAGACCAGGTTCGGCGACTTGGTGAGACTCGACGATGCCCAATGGGTGCGGTGATGGAAGCCTCACTTTTCGATTTACCGGTCTTGGATGGCCATTTCCCTAAGTGCATCCGAGTAGGTATTCTTTCACGAGACGAAAGGGAAAGCGGCACGGACGTTGACACTTTCATTCGAGAAGAACATTATGCAGACGGGCCTTGGAGTACTTGATGGACGTGCATATCTGTGCAGTTCTAAGTCAATTGCAGCCTTCTTTTTAGGAGCAGTACTTTGCATGGTGCGCAGGTAAATAGAGACGGAGATATTTGAATCGAAGGTATAGGTACCTTGGTGATTGCAAAGTGAACACGCGTTGGCCTTGATGAAAGACAAGAACCATGAACCTTGCGCGAATGTCGAGCGTGCCAAGGGGCATATAGGTGAGCGCCAGAAAGGATTAGACGGGGAGCAACTTAGCAAGTGAGGTCGAAGAGGTCGATGCAAGACCCCGGTCAGGCAGCCAGGGTTGCAAACCTGGGCTCTGTGGGTTCCTGAACGAGTGCCGGTACCTTGCTTGAGTGGTTCGGAGTGTACGGAACGCGGCAATGTATCTGTACATTGTGGATATGGCTGCTCCTACTGCAGCTGCAGGGTTGAAGGCCACCCCCTCTCTGGTCCCCTCTCCTCTTAGTCGGGGCCCTTTTGAGGAGGAGCCCTAGCGATCCAGGGATCGTGCCTGAATACAACATTTCACACATGGACGGGCAGGCCTGTGAATGGCTCCCATTGCTCTATTGCGAATGTTGCAGAGGCCGAGAAGGTGGGGTTCGCCTGGCAGCTCGATGCAGCATCTGGCTGGACGATGGCTTCGGTTGGTCTTGTGTGGAACTCAGCCCAGAGAGGTGGTGTGAAAGCTTCTCAACTGCTTGCTTCAGGAACAGGAGCAAAACCCAACCAGCCTCGCTTGGTACTTGGCTTTCGGCAAACGAGGAGGAGGTGGGAGGTGATGAGCACCTGCAGTCGGAGTGTCCTCTGTCATTTGAGATTGCATTAGTCGGAACGCTCCCTGGACACGGCAAAAACGACCAGACCTTGCCTTACCACCAAGTTTCTCCCAGTAAGGTTCTGTGCCTCCCCTTGGCGAGGCATGATGTGTCTATAGTTGTATTGTTCATGGGGTCGTTTGTCGAGCCTGGGTGTGTGGCAGTGGTGGATGTATCCGTACGGATACCTTGAGTGAGCATGCTTTCCACCAAATTGCGGTGCATAGTCCAGACTGCGCATACGCAATACCTACCTCAGCCCGAGTACTTCGTACTGCACCTGAAGGCTCAGGGCGGATGAGATGAGGTGTATCCGTACCGTGTATGTACGGAGTATTGAGGTGAGGTCGGGTGAGGGTCGAGCGCGCGCGATTCGGACGTAGGTTGACCCGGACGTATTTGCGTTGCTTCCGCGGCATCAAGACGCAGGGGAACGAAATTGTGGTCTGGGGCTCAGTGCTCACAGACGTTGTGAGATGCCGCGATGTGGTGGGCCTCACATCTCCGGTGAAAAACATTGCGGTTCCGCTACGGATATGCTCCCATTACCAATGCCGTGCGTGAGCCTGCATTTCGGGGGGCTGGGATCCACATTTCGACGAGATTTCATCACGACAGCTCTGATCCAGCGTAATGAGATGTGAGAGAAGACGTCCGAGTGTTCCAGGTCGCTTCATCGCTTGTATCCGTACCCGTAGCATCGTACCTCTACACACGTAAGATATGGAAGTTGCCTTGTAAGGTAGATGACGGTTATTGTCGTGTGAGGTGGCTGATAGAAGTGAGCTGTGAGGCGAGCTTTTGCCCCTTCCATTTTGGGAGATCGAGTGCTTTGATGCAGGGGACGCGCCTCCCCAATAGAATAGGTATGTACACGTACTGTTGACGCCTTACGGGCCTCAAAAAATATAGTATCAACTGAGGCAGGAAGTTGGAACGTCGGGGAAGCTATTTCGGGAAAGAACATCTCAGCGCACCTTCCATACTTCCATTTACTACTACGACATCCAAGGGCGGGCAGTATCCGTCTGTGTAACTTGAAAGTACATCGATGTACTACCTAACTACCTTATCACCCGACGAAGCCAGATACAAAATACTTTGGTTCATGCAATGGAGATGGAAAGCTTGCGTTCGCCGCGCTTATGCTTTACCTACTTCATCATTGCTCCCCCGGGTACGATACATTCGGGTGAGGCATTCGGAGTAAAGATAAAAGGAGACGAGTAAGACATCCGGATCAAGTGCCGTCGGGTGTACATATCACGCTCTTCACACCAAGGTAAGGTAGACACGGAGTAATAGCTTAGTTCAAACCCTCGAATACCCGATAGGTCTAGCGGCCCACGGGTTTCCTGCTCTTCTCCAAAGTCAAACGCTGCGTCCGGCTAATGCATTCTAAGTACCACTGTGGGACTGGGGCGGAGTTTCTCCAACACGATTAATTTTCCCTCGATGTCGTTGGAGTCTTTCTCTTGACATCCGAACACCGTTCCTCTCCAGTCTCCAGTCTCCAAAGTCCAGCGTCCATTGTCCACTCATTCTGCCGCCCATCGTGCTGTCTGCTCCACCACACCACACCATACCGGATTATACGCCATTACACCAACACCTTCTTCACACGCCGCCGGCCTTTCGATACCACCTACATCGTGTCTCCGTCCTGACCTTACTCGGTGTCTGTCTTTTTGCCCGAACTACCTTACCTTGCGCTAGTACTCACTGCAGACGCAAGAACCAAGGCCAAGACGACAAACCTTGGACCAGATAAAGCACGTGTGGTTACAGCGTTGAGTGCCAATCAAGCGCTTGCCCACACGCCTTGGGCAGCACGAACTCAATGGCCCAACCATACTTCTTACGCTGGGACGCTCCCGCCCACTTCTTCCTCCTCTTCCAGTCGGGTTGATTGCATTCCCAACCTACCTAGCTCATCGGGGGACCAGCTGCCTGCATCCAAGGCTTCTCAAGACTCAAGGCACGGCTTACGGCTACCTTACCGCAGCAACTTAAAGTCCGGATGCAAGGCACCATGGCACCGCGCTGGAGTCTGGACAAGCAAAGCCTGCGTAAAGCGCGCTAAGAACGTTCAGAACCGCGCTTAGGTATGCCATCTGCGTTTGCGGCATCGCTTCAAGGTGAGGTTGGCTGACGTGGGGAGTCTCCAGCAACCTTCACGACGCCTTACCTAAGACGACGTAGCAGATGGTTTCAACAAAGCACCGTCACCTGCTTTTCAGCCGGCGCCGTCCCTCCAAATCCCCGACTCGTCTCCCGAGGCTTGTCAAATACCGTCTGTCTGTAGCCGTAACAATACAGCTTTGGACAGCGAATCTTCTACCAGATAACTGAAGGCCCGACTCAGCGGAGATGGGCGTCGTGCCTTGGAAACTGACCGCCAACGGTCGAACGAGAGGCGCCCAATCGCCGTCTTTGCTCTAGTCGAGATCACGTTTTCCATCTACACACACACCCTGAAGCATGCTTCCAAGGTGCTAGGTAGCCACCTGCGATTGTGGTGTGGCAGACCTAGCGTGTGCATGTGTTTGTGTACTTCACCCCTCCTCCAAGGCTCCAATACTTTCTTCCTCGGCATGGTCTGGCCCGTCACGCAGCCGTTGGATGTTCTTGGGCCGATCTCAGCCTCACACAAGGCGACTACCGTCGATCATCTCAACCGACGCCTGGTTGATCCCCGGAGCTCACCATGAGATGCTCACTCGCCAAAAGAAAGTCAGCCCGCAGAGAGATCCTTCCCCAACCTCAGTCCGATCTTCCATCCACTCAAGCACATGGCCTCAGAAAAGAATGTAACGTCGGAGGGTGTTTGGAGCACACGTTGGCAGCTCGAGCTCAATAGCCTCGTTATCGCATCGTCTAGCATTGTTCCGATCTTGCCTCCCTCCCAAACCACAAACCACTACCCACCACCCCATCCCGTCGTCTCAAGCTGCCATCACCGCCTCTGCCGCTACCGTTATTGCGCCTCGCCCGCCGGTCGATTGGTTCAGAACCTTTGTCGTTCCCTCCTTGCATCGGGATATACGCCCCATGCTCTCCCACGTTCTTGTCCAAAACGTACATGGCAATAGTAACGGCCTGCTCATCTCAAGTGCCGCCTTGCCTGATGCGGCGAAACCAGCCGAGTCGTGCTGTCCACCATCTCCAGCTTCACCCTCCGATTAAACCCATCACCGGAAGAACAAAGCCGTCACCGAAAACGGCCACCAAAAGGTGAAACCAGCTCCACGAACCTTCGATTTACTCGTGCCATGCTTCTAGAAACCTTCGGAGGACAGGACAGGCTTGAACGTCTGTGCTCTCGCTGTCGTCTCCTTTAGGGGTTACCTTGTGTGGGAAATTGAAACAAGGCCCTCGGCGGACGCACTTCTGCAACGTTGGCAATAGGGGCGCCATCACTAGCCTTGACGCCAGAGATGTCAACGCGCTTGCTCACGGACCCCTCTAATAACGTCCACATCTTCAACCCGCCCGCAGCTTTACACAGGTGCCAGCTTGTGGTCTATGATTCTGGCCTGATAATGACACACGGGGGCTACCTTCACTCTCTCTCAGACCCAGTTTCAATGCGCGCCGAAAAACCTTTCACGGCCGCTCCGTAAGGTACACGTACAACCGTTGCAAGTGGTCATTGCACGCGCTAGTTAAATGAACCGTATCAGCCAAAAGACATCTCTGTCGCGACAATAGTTACTGCCACCACGGCGGTCAATGACGGCAGGACATGAGGGTGGCCCTAAATCGCGCTTCCGAATGTCGGTCCTGAGCATTCCAACACTAGGTTCCAGATCCTGACATTGAACCATCTAATAATCAAATTGGTTGTTAACTCTGACTTTTGCGTTGATTCATGGTCCAAGGTCTGTTGTCTATCAGTTGCAGTTGGGATAAGGACAATTAGAATCGAAGACACCACGTTGCTTCTCCGCGAATTGCATGGATCAGGTATCAAGGCGTGGTAGCAAGAGCGTTGACGCTAAACCGACCGCTTTCTGTCAACCCGTTCAACTAGTGTGTTGCCGGATATGATTCCTCATCTCTTCATGCCTGCAATTTGCTTCCCAGCTATCAAGCGCAGCCGGTAGTACCGATAGCAGACTCGTCCAAAGCTCCAACACCTCTGGATCCGTGCTGGTACAAGGAGACTGCGTGCTATGCCGAGCAGGTAGACCGGAGTTGACCGTGTCCAAGCTGTGTCGTAGCTGTGCCCGAGCCGCATTATTCCTTTGCGTAATTTGGGCTCACATATTACGAAGTAATTCCCTTTGAGAGGAATTTGCCCGCCGATATGGGACATGAGGCAAGTATACATCATAGGCTGGCATTGTAAGAGCTGCCTCTGTTCTATGAATACACGGGGGTGGTAGTACAACAACAAGATGAGAACATTGCCTGGCGATGCCATCATGAACGCCACACATTGAAAGAGATTTCTATCTCTTGACCCAGGCGGGCATCTTTCTGGCCTTGACATGACCATGCTTCTTTCTCTCAACTTGTCTAGGATCGCGGGTAATGCAGCCAGCTGTAGCGTTGAACTTGTCAGCAACAAACCGAAGATCACTCTCACCACGGGAGTTGACTTACCTTTTCTTAGTATCGGCTTAAGAGCTGGTTCGTGGACCAAGACAGCCTTGGCAATTGCCAACGTAAGAGCCTCGGCCTGTCCGGTCACACCGCCGCCTTCAACAAGTGCCCACACGTTGTACTTGTCTGTTCTCGCAGTGCTCCGGAGCGCCCAGATGGCGCTCTCACGATCATGAACTCTGCCGAATGCCTCGTTCAGGGGTTTGCCGTTGATCAGCATCTCTCCAGTGCCCTCCACAACCCAAGCGCGGGCGCTCGACGTCTTCCTGCGGCCAACACCTAAAGCGCGTCCATATCTGTCGAGAGGCACAACCTTGGCCACATTCTTGTACGGGTCGATATCGCGTTTGAATTCCTGCAGGGCTTCTTTGACCTCGCTGGGCATCAGTCCGGGGTGGATCTGATGCAGCCGCTTAACCATGCTAAGAACTTGGCTAAAGGGCATCGCCTTGACTGGTTCTCCAGTGGTCTGTCGGTAACCCTTCAAGTTCCTCCATATTTGTCGTGGGACCAATTCCGGGGGCGCCAAAGGAAGGTGCTGGTATCTCTCCACGAGAGCAGAAAGTCGGATGTAGGCGTCGTTGAAGCGAGGCTCTCTGGAGAAGTAGGATGGCGAGACGGGTAGTGGACGAGCCTTCGTAATCCCGTCAAAAGGCCGCTGGGGAGGCAAATCCAGCCTTGTGTCGATTTTGGGTTCGCTGTTTTCAACTTGAGGATCGCTCGTAGTCGACAGGCTCTTGAAGCTCGATTGCAGGCTCGATTGCAGGCTCGATCGTTGCCATTGAGGCTTCATCGACTGACCCTTTGCCAGTTGGCGCAAGCAGAGCGTCTGCTGCAGACCCTGGCGTAAGCTCGACATTGTTGCGGGACCTCGAGCAGCGCCCTCGTTGATGCGGTTGCTGTCGCGATATCGTGAAATGGAGACAGCCTTGAACGCCAATAGACAGAAATCTTTCCTAGCTTCGTAGCTGGGTTACGGCAGAACATCGGACGACATTCTACTCACGTGATGTGGCGTCAGCGCCACAGGCGCTTGGACCCTTTCTTGCTGCACTTTACCCCTCACAGACCGCAGCTGGTTGCCCTGGCGTTCGAGCTGCCGTCAATCGAGCGAGGGGCTTTCGGGTGGCGGGGCACTGCGGTCGAAATTTCATTCAAAAAAATTACTGTCACCCTGGCGGGGAACCTGAACTTTTCTCTCTCCTCTCTCTTGTCCATCACATCACGCACCTTTTGATACCCTTCCATCCCTCTCGGTCAAACAACTGATTCAAGATGGCGTTCGGAAAGCTCTTCACCTACCCGGTAAGAAAAGGAACCCCAAATTACTCTTCAACTTCACGATGTCTAGGAATCTGATCGCTAACGAATATCGTCACCCCTCCAGGCTAACCCCCGCACCACGGCCATCCGTGCCGTCGCGAAGGCCAACAACGTCGACCTCGAGTTCATCGAGGCTGACCCTACCAAGCCCTCCGTTGAGCACCTCAAGGCCAACAAGCTCGGCAAGGTCCCCGCCTTCCTTGGCGAGGATGGCTACCCTCTCTCTGAGTGCATCGCCATTGCCATCTACAGTACGTTCTGAGTCATACTTTGCCGGTCTCGTTTTTCGAACACACAAAAACAACATCCCACGATTCGCAATATGATGATCAAGCTTTTTCAAATACAGTTATCCCTGTCTGAATTTCTTTGTTGACATAGTCTAAATTTCTGATCCTACCATTGGCACCGTCTACTCACTATTAGATATCGTTTGTGTAGCAAGAGCTAACGAGATGCCACAGTCACCTCCCAGAACGAGAAGACCACCCTCCTCGGCAAGACCAAGCAGGAGTAAGTGCACCGGAAGCGCATCTTTCTCTCGTTAAGCTCAGAAGTACGAGGCTAACAACTCTTCATCTAGCTACGCCTCCATTCTCAAGTGGATGTCCTTTGTGAACTCCGAGGTCCTCCCCCCCATGGGCGCCTGGTACCGCCCTCTCCTTGGCAAGGACCCCTACAACAAGAAGGCTGTTGAGGACTCCTCCAAGGTCGCCCTCAAGGCCATCAAGGTCATTGAGGAGCACCTCCTCAGCAACACCTACCTCGTTGGCGAGCGCATCACCCTCGCCGACCTCTTCGCCGCTGGCATCATTGCCCGTGGCTTCGAGTTCTTCTTCGACAAGGCGTGGCGCGCGGAGAACCCCAACGTCACCCGTTGGTACCAGACCATCATCAACCAGGACATCTGGACCGCCGTCACCGAGAAGCAGGAGTTCCTCGAGACCCCCAAGCTGACCAACGTCGCCCCCAAGAAGCCTGAGCAGCCCAAGAAGGAGGCTGCCCCCAAGCCTGCCCCCGCTCCCGCTGCTGAGGAGGCTCCCGCCGCCCCTAAGCCCAAGCACCCCCTTGCTGAGCTCCCCCGCGCCACCTTCGACCTTGAGGAGTGGAAGCGTCAGTACTCCAACATCAAGAACCACGATGAGGCCATGCAGTGGTTCTGGGACAACGTCAATCTCGAGGAGTTCTCTCTCTGGAAGGTCAAGTACAAGTACAACGACGAGCTCACCATGACCTTCATGTCCAACAACCTCATCGGCGGCTTCAACAACCGTCTTGAGGCTTCCCGCAAGTTCATCTTCGGATGCGCTGCCGTCTACGGCACCAACAACGACTCCGTCATCGAGGGCGCCTTCGTCATCCGTGGCCAGGACTACAAGCCCGCTTTCGATGTCGCTCCCGACTACGAGAGCTACGACTTCGAGAAGCTTGACGCTTCCGCCCCCGAGACCAAGAAGTTCGTCTCTGACTCTTGGGGATGGGAGGCCCCCATTACCCACAACGGCAAGGAGTACCCCGTTGCCGACGGCAAGGTCTTCAAATAAGCGCATCGCTCAACGGAGTGATCCAAAATTCATGGCTTATGGCAGAGATGAAATGAGTTTACGAATAGGCTAGGAGGGTGTGCAGATGATGTTATGGACCCGAAGAGGAATATCCTGTGCGTAATGCCCACGGCTGTGTGCCAAGTTACTAGGTCTGAGTCACTAGGACGAGGCAAAAGATGCAGGTTGTTCCTGATCAAAATCAAAAGAACACTTTTTTCAATTTCACTAGTCTCCACGTGCATATTTTTGAATTGAATGTGATGCTTCCATAAGCTCATGCCAAGGGGTATCTCGATGCTACCAAGTCTTATCTCCGTATTCTGTGTCTTTCTTCCCAACCTCGCATATGTCCCGGTTCTGCCAAAGACTCCTTCTCCGTCAATTTTCTACGCTGGGCCCTGCACAAGACCCTCTTGCTGCTACTCTAGCCTGTATGCGTCGTTCAGCTGGAACGGATTCGTGCGCATATACGCGCTGATATCCGACTGGTAACAGAGCTGGTTGAGGTAATCATGAACCTGCGGCACCACGTAGCCCGGCTCGCTGGCGTCGCCAAAGAACTCGGGGATCTGCAGCAGGTTGTACGGCTCGCTCCGCGCCTTCTCGAGGGAGTCATCCACGAGAACGGTGTTGGTCTGGTCCCACCGGCCGCCGTACGCCGCGTCTGGGTGTGCCGCCTGCACGTTGGCCTGGGCCCAGACCATCTCCAGGCGCTTGTAGACCTGCACGCGGAGCTTGAAGTCGGCCTCGGAGAGGCCGAACTTGTCGCGTCCCCAGACGGCCAGCACGCGGCGGCGGTACGAGGCTCGCTCTTCATGGGTGTCTGCGGCGCCGAGGCCGCCTTTGAGGAGGAGCTGGTCGCACATGGATTGGACGTTCTTCGGTTGGGCAGAGGACCAGACGACGACGTGGAAGGTGTCGAGGCAGTATTGCAGGAAGCGCTTCGCGTGGGGCCGCTCGACGAAGCTTGCGGCGTTGCGGCGGTTGGGTCGGAAGAGGAGGGTGCCGTTGAGGTCCATTACGACGAGGATCGGTCGAGGGGTCGGGACGAGGGTCGGCGGGATGGAGGCTTGCTGGAGGTATTGCGGCGTGGGGTTCGGAACGCCGCCTGAGGCGGCACTGGGGGCTATGATCTTATCACGGTTGTGCGGCGCCGCGGCTCTGTTGACAGAGATGGAATGTTAGTCTTTGCGACAGCATCGGAGGAGGGTAATGGACCACATAGAGACAGGATGGAACAGGGAGGGGGGGAGACGAACGCTTTGCGAGGTCCCTTTGGAATTATGGGTTGGTTTCCGGTGGAAGATTGCTCAGGAAGAGGAGTCGCGGAGGTCGAGGCAAAGGGAACGTTCGCGGCGTTGCCGAGACCCGGTATCGTGAAGCCGTTACTGCTCGGCTGCTGGTTTGACGGGGCGGCCATGGCCGGGGCGGGCTTGGCCCACCATTGTAGGTCGGACATGCTTTTGTGTGGAGTGTAGACGAGCCTCGAATCGCGCGAGGGAGTCGTGGGAAAGGGAAGGTAAGGTTTGTTATTGTATTCGGAGAGTGTGTCTTTTGGAGGGCAGTCGCGGGGTGGGCGACCTGGACGCTTGCGCGCGACGGTTTTGTAGAAGCAACGTTGGTGGATCTGTTGCGATCTGGCGAATATCCGGGGAACAGAAGGTTGCATGGATGGATGGGCTGGGTATCGAAGTGGGAAGGCGAAGTCAATTGAGCTGAGTGTGAAATCAGATTGGTCTAGCTGCTTCCGTTGTAGTTAGGTGCAGGTCGAATATACTGTTCGGAGCGTATTCAGGGTCTTTTTTTGTCTTTGATGCGATTAGTGAAGAGGAAATTGTTCTTGCTGGGAAATCGCATTGAAAGGAATGATGGAAGTTTGTGAGGCAGATGTTATCGATAAGTTGCCGTTTCTTATCGATACGAGGTCGCTGGTCACTCTGACCCGCTGAAAAGTTGCTTCGAGGTGTGGGCGAGCCTGCTTCATGTGAGTTCTGGCCCTTCACACTACGAGCATATCATTTAGTGCACCTTTCAGCTTCACAAAATCAACAAAAAATCGAGACAAAATGCTGTCTGGAAAGAGGAAGCAAGGGTTTTCAGGCCTTCAGCGCCGTGTGAGGCCTCGTAGAGAAGCAGAACCTGAAGTCGATGAGCAGACGAGCAGTGAGCCGGAGGAGATGAGAATGGATGGAGAAGAGTTGAGTGAAGACGAAGAGGATGAAGATATGGAAGAGGACGACGAAGAGGTATTTACTTCGAGCCGTAAAACTACTGCAATCGTTACTGACAGCTCAAAGTCCGATGCCTCACCACCGCCAAAGAAGTCCAACATCGACATTTCATCAGTGTCTTTTGGCGCCCTCGCAAAAGCCCAGGCCTCAATGCCGTCAGCCAAACGTCGCAAGCGCGGCGCATCACCTTCAGAAGACGAAGACTCAGACTCGGGTCCGGAAGAAGTCGGCAGGAAACCCAAGCATGGCGACCACGTCAAGCGCTCAAGCAAGCACGCCCCGATGGAGCAGTCAAGCAAGAAGCCCGTCTCCCGCCGTCGCGAAATCATCGCCGTGCCCAAGATGGAGGTGCGCGACCCCCGCTTCGACCCGATGAGCGGCCCCGTCGACGAGTCCAAGGCCCGGAGGGCGTACGCCTTCCTGGACGACTACCGCAAGGACGAGATGAAGCAGCTGCGGGCCGAGATCAAGAAGACCAAGGACGCGGACAAGAAGGAGGAGATGAAGAGGATGCTGCTGTCGATGGAGAGCAAGATGAAGGCGCGGGAGCGCAAGCAGCGCGCGGACGACGTCATTCAGGAGCACAAACGCAAGGAGAAGGAGCTCGTCAAGGAGGGCAAGCAGCCGTTCTACCTCAAGAAGTCGGAGCAGAAGAAGAGGTTCTTGATGGACCAGTTTGCGGGCATGAAGAAGAAACAGGTCGACCGTACAATTGAGCGGAAGAGGAAGAAGGTTGTTGGAAGGGAGCGGAAGGAGCT